TGGGGTGTCCTTGTGTCTCGGTGCTTTCCCTCCCCCTTAGTGTAGATAAAGGCTGGGGGGCCGCTCTGCTGGGGGGAAGGGGTGCGGGGACTCGGTTTCCAGCAGGGGACTGGGCTGCGGGAGGGGGGGGGGACGTGTGTGCTGCAGTCCTGTGTGAGAGGGGCTGGGGGCCGTGAGGGTGGGATGTCCGTGTGTGTTTGTGTGAGGTGCATGTACCTGTCCCGCATGGCATGGGCACGGGGGGGTGAGGTGCGGGAGGGCAGGGTGGCAGGGCACATGAAAATGCAGATCGCTGTGGAGGGAACTTGCCAATTCGCTTAGAAAGCACAGGCTCTCTAGAGTTTAAATGTGTTTTCAAGCAACCTGGGAAGCTCAGGCAGAGGAGGAATGTGTAACACGTACTGTGGACTTTTCCATTCAGTTGCAATCGGGGAAGGAGGGAGAGGGACTCCCTTCCCTCCCCACTTGTTTGGTAGGGCCGTTTCTGTCGAGTTGCTTTGAAAAGGGGAGGATGTGGTGTTGTGAACAAGCTGAAATGAGCAAAGTAACACTCGAGATGAACAATTCTGGCAGTGCCAGTGAGAGCTTTCCAAAACCCATAACATTTTCCAGCTCCTCACTCTTGAAACATCAGGCTGGAGCTGTAAAACTGCTAGACACAGGTGGGTGAGAAGGAAGGGGTTTCTGAGAAGCAGAGGAAGCCAGAACCACCCTAAACCAAGTGGTTATGGGCAGGCAGTGTCTGTTAGTAGGGGCTAGTAGATCTATCTGTGTTGGCTACCAGCTTCAGAGGGGTTTGCAGGGTGTTTGTGAGCAGATCATGGACTTATGGAGAGATGGTGGTTCTGAATTTTCCACATGCACTTGCACACATGATGTCCCTTCCCTGCAGCTGAGGAAAGTGGCTGGCTTTTACTCTGGTGTGGCCCTGTGCATGGATAAATGAGTCACTTTTGGAGGAGCAGGGAGCAGCCTGGGTCCCTGCACACACTCTAAGCCTGGCAGCCTCCTGCCTGGGCAGAACTGCTTGTGTCTGGGCAGGCTGGAAATGCCAGTTGCTGCTGGGAGTTGCAGTGCCCATCCCAGGGGAGTAAAGAGAAGCTGGGCTAGAGCTGTTGGTGCTGCGAAGAGTGAGGTGGGGATTGGTGGTTCCAGCTGGAAGGGAGAAGGGTGAGTCCAGGTGTTGGAGAGAGGATGAACCTGCTCACACCTTGCTGGTTCAAGGGAACTCCTGTCCCACATGGACTGTTGGAGACAGAGGAGCCTGAATGGAGCCTCTGAATGGGGTATCAGAGGCTCATGATGGGTCTTGGCATGGATGGGAGATGTACGTTGTCTGCATGTGTTCACCATCTGTGTTTGTCCCTTCTTCACCCATCTTTCCCAATGCTGGATGAGCCAGAGCCCTGCTGTTCTGTCCCCAGAGGGTGACAGTGTGGGGGGCTATGCACACACACACACACACACACACACACACACACACACACGTGTGCACACTCACTCCTCCAAACAGGAGACACCACAGTCCATCTCCCCAAACCCTTCTGCTGCATTGTGACTGTCCCAGCCCGTTCCTTCACCTCCACCTGCCAGAGGTGTCTCAATGCCATCCAGACCATCATGCCAAGCCCATGAGAGCTGGGCTGAGGCTCTGCAGCTCAGGCCCCTGGTCAGCCTCGAGGCTGCTTTCCACAGGGATGCAGTGGCAATGCCAGGGGACCTTGCTGCTCCCCAGCCTCTGGTCAAGCAGCTGAGCCACAGTGGCTGCAGCTGACATGAGGAGAACTGGGTCCTCCCGCCCCACTGAACAACTCCCTGCATCTGCAGCTCATGCTGGCCCATCTGGTCTCTCCTGCTGACCATCCATCTCTGCCTCAGCTCTGCACCATTCTCTGTGCCCCCTTCTCCTCCCGCTCTGCCATCTGCCATGTCCCCATGCCCTTAATTCCTGCCTCATTGCACATCCCTTCTGTCTCTGCCCCTATGGACCAAGTCCATCTGCTCCTGCTGGCAGCCCTACTTCAGCTGGAACAGCCTTGGAACAGCCATCTGTCCCAGCAGCACTCCTGCATCCTTCCCACACAGCCTTTCTCCCAGCCACCTCATCATCCTCAGTGCCTGGGGTTGCTGCTGGGTGTGGGAGATGGTCTGTGCCCAGAGCTGGCTGGTACCCTGGGGCACCCAGCTGGAGGTCTGGTGGCAGGAGGGAAGAGGCTCTGCTCCTTGCTCTGCCCATACGAGGGACCTGAAGAGGTTTCCTGCCTCCATCCAGCTTGGGACCTGGGCTCTGTCCCTGTCTCTGCGGTGGAGGGATCCATGATGCTGTAGCCCTGAAAAGCAGCCAGCCTGCATCTCTGCTGACTGTAGCATCACACTTTGTCCAGGTGTGACAGTACCCACAGCAAGATCCAAAGGCTTTTTGGATGACCCTGGTGCTGGCAGAGCTCCAGGAGCTGCAGGAGGACAAACCACTGCTGCCAGCTGCTGGCTCTTGGAGCCAGTCAGGTGAAGGCAGGTGAAAACTTCTTCCCTCTCCAAGACCTCCCTGGCAGTGCTAGACAGGGCAGGCAGATCTGCCTGTGGATGGGTTAATAGCCAGGATGCTGGTGATGCTTAGGGGCAGGGGGTGACCATCCTGGGCTGGGGCTGACAAGTGTCCTGCTGTGCTTCCCCCTAGGAGCTACTGTGCCTACGTGGTGCAGCGCAACGTGACGTGCACACTGCAGGACGGGGCCGAGAGCTACGTCAAGGCTGAGTATCACAAGTGCAGCTGGGGACCCAAGTGTCCGGGGAAAGTGCTGTGAGTATGGGGGACACAGGGCATGGCTCCTTTCCCCTCCCAGCTTCAGGTCTCAGCTCTCCTCGGGGCTCCCAACCCCACGTGCTGCCCTTCTGACTGTCAAACCTCATTTTCCAGAGGGCAGTGAAAGGGGCTGAAGGGCTTTACCTGGGTGGGGCAGCCAGTAACTGGGCAGCAGTGCTGGGAGGAGGCAAGATGGGGTCTGTGAGGAGGGAGAGGGAGCTCTGTTCCTCATCAGAAATAAATCAGGAAATCATGGAGAGCCAAGGGGGTGAAATGTGTGGAGGGAAACATTTTGTCACAGACCCGTGACTTGGCAGAAAGATGGCAGCTAGGTGAGAGCCTGCCCAAGAGGAGGAGTGAATGGAGCCTGTGGCTGGGCATGGTTGAGGGCTTCCTGCCTCAGAAAAATATTTGCAAAAGTCTCTGCCACCTCCTCAGTGCTGGAGGGAATCCCTGTGCCATGCTGGAGCTGGGGCAGGGTGGACACTGGGGCTTTGTGCTGTGCTGCAGTCCACAGGTCCTGGCCTGGAATGCTGCTCCATGCAGAAATGCTGCATTCCTG